TGTAGTACTATGTACTATGTACTTGGGTATGTAGTACTATGTACTATATACTATGTACTATGTGCTATGTACTATGTACTATGTGCTATGTATGTTTCTAGAACTTTCTACCACGTCTTTGAATGTGTCCACAGTATGGTTCTCAGCAAGATTGTCAACATTGCATCGGGGTGGGTGGGTGGGGGGGAGCGGGAGGGGGGGGTGTTTTCAACTTGGTTTATTTCCGAACGGTACTGTTCTCGACTCTGTTGGGTTCAACGCCCGTTACCGTTATTCGGCTCTCGCAAGCGATAGGAGCAAGCAACCCCACTCACTTCGCGTCTACTTTCCATTTTCTGAACTGGTGAGCGCCTAAAAAAAAAAAAACAGCCAAAGCTGGCGTCAAGACGGTTGGTATACATTGACTGAAGCCGATGAATCTGTAAGTTAATTGTTGATTCAAACAACCACATTAAGAGTGAGTTGGGTACACGATAAAAACATATAAAACAAAAACAAAAAAATTGCTTTTATTGAACAGATGACAGTACTTAGTTCCCAAAAAACGTTCTCAAGCAGTGTGTTCTGAATTGTGTGTGTGCGGTCTTCTTTTTTTTTTTGTTTTTTTTTTTCCCTCAATTGTGTGTGGTCTCAATTTGGGAGTTCTCAAAAATGTTCAAAAGAAATGTTTGTCAAAGATATGATGATGATGATGTCATTGTCGATTGTGCTGTTGTCATCATTCAATCGAACAGAACCGCGAGGGGGGGGGGGACTAAACGAAGATGGCCAGCAGCACTAGTAGTACAATGAGGCCTTACTTGAGCAGCATTCGGGAGACGTTGAATACAGCCCTTTGTCTGCAAAATTTTCCTTGCCAGGAGGTGGAGAGGCACAACAAGCCGGAAATCGAATTCCAGACGAGTCCAGAGCTTCTTCTCGACCCCATCATAATTTGCCGTAACGAGTCCGAGAGGGTGCTAATCGAGAGGTCGATAAACTCTGTGAGAATCTCGGTCAAGGTGAAACAGGCAGACGAACTGGAGAACATTCTGGCGAAGAAGTTCCTCAGGTTTCTGTCGTTGCGTGCGGAAACGTTTGAGGTCTTGAGGCGCAAAGCTGTAGACGGCTATGACATCAGCTTTCTCATCACCAATTTCCATTGTGAGCAGATGAACAAAAACAAAATCATAGATTTCATCGTACAGTTTGTTGAGGATATCGACAAGGAAATTAACGAGCTCAAACTATCGATCAATACGAGAGGACGTTTGGTTGCAGCAGAGTTTATGAAGCAATTTGTGTGATCATCATGCAGTTCATTTCCTTTACAAATCGGTCAAGCGCTGTGTTTCCTTTTTTTTCACTTTCCCCCTCACTCCCTCCCCTCCACCCCCTCCCTCCTCTATACCCCCTACCCTCCCCTGCCACGGTCTGCTCCCTCACAGAAAAGAGGTCATTCTCAGAGCTAAATAATATGTGATGATGATACAGTCTGAACTTCCAGGCGACTGGAAGCTCAAGCGTTTCGCTTGGGATCTAATCAGCACTTCGTGCCTCCAGGCTCAGGCTTGATTTATCAAAGTGTAGGTACTTGCCCTATCAATTTTCATTTCCAAGCGGGATTAGATTAACACAATTGCCTAAAGAGTAACGGAGGTGCGCGAAGGAGCTCCTCTGATTGCTGGTGGCGAACCTGAGCATGGCAAGTAGAACAGTTGCGGAGATTCTACAATGAGTGCACAAGGAGAGGAGATCCAGGTCAAGAAAAAACGGAGGTTGTGAAACACACAAACATAGTGGGACTTGTGGGCGGACTTTGGGGGGCAGGCACGGTTTTGTGGGGGGGGGGGGGGGGGGGGGGGGTTGGAGGCCGGTGTGGTATTCTGCCCTGAAATGGTTTGACGGACGACTTCTCTCAAACCACCGGTACTTGGCCCAACGATTGGCCATGAAAAAAAAAGACTAGAAACGTTTCTAGTCGGATGAATTTGGGCGTGCTTGTAGTGGACCGTACGTTCCTTAAAATTGTGGCTTGTTAACGGGCACGGCTTTAGGAAGGACGTACTGGTGGTTCATGTGTATAGATCGCTTCACCTGCGTCGATCCACATCAATTAAATTACATGAAGTTGAAACGTCCTATCAAAGTTGCCGTTCATAGACACTGGCGCACACTGGCGCACACATGCAGTTCCAATTGGTAAGTTTTTTTTTTTTTTTTTTTTTCCAATCGGTCAGCTAATCCTCTTGAAAGATGCTCATTGCATTTTTTTCTTTGAAAGGTCGGACATGCCGAGACCCTTGCTTTTTTCTTATCGTTGCGGGATTTTGTTTGGCCATGCGATCTTCATGAGGATGTTCAGACTGTGTTTGCCATGGGCGCAATTCCCACGCGCCTCCAGTACATGCCTCACATAGGCTGTGGGGCCGTGTCAGAGGCCAAAAAGAGACGCCGGCTGCCAATTTCTTATACAGACGTCGTGCTGGTGCCGACTTTTCCAGCTAGGCTGCAAGTTTCTTTTCAACAAGGCTGGGGCCGTGTACTGGAGGTCTAATAACAAATGGGAAGCAGGGGAGAGATCTCTAGGGTGATGTAAAGCACCGGCCCTTCGATACGCCGAAATTGGCACTCCAGTTTGCACTGTGTGGGTCGGGAGGACCTATGGATCGGCTGGCCTGCTGACCGCGGAGGGGGGGGTGTTGAGGGGGTGCAAAATTGCAAGTAAATATAAGAGCGCTCTAATTTGGCGTTTCTTTTTCGTGCTCAGAAATGTGCACAACAAAAATTTTGACGTAAAGGTCAGGATCGCATTCAGAGAGATTTGAACCATTGGCTTGGCGGGCATTGGAGTGCCGCCCGCCATTGGCTTGGTGGGCATTGGAGTCCCATGTCGCGTCGGCTTGGTGGGCATTTGGAGTGCCATGTCCAGTTCGGTGCGGTGGAGTTCCTTGTGCCGGTCAAAGTTCGAACCGTCTAAGTTCTGTCCGGGCCTGCTCTTCTTTTGACAGCGCCATGGGTTGCAGAGCTTACATGTCAGCATCATAGGACTGCCACTTCTTCTTTTTGGAAGTGGTTTTCATTGGATGGTCTTTTTTTTTTTTCTTTCTATTGGATGGTCTTTTTAAGTGTTGTCTTTTTT